CTCATCTCTCTCATATGTGTTACATGAACCACCTGTCTCATCATCTTTTTCACCAAAAGAATTCGGTGATGATTTCAAATTATGACTTTCAATATTAATATTTGTTCCACAGTATTTCATAGCCCAGGATTCTGCAACTAAACGTTACCTTTCCAACAACACAACTCTGGAGTTGGTTTGAATTTTAGCCAACAGCAATGCCCCGTATAAATGTGGACTAAAGATGATTGGTTGACACTTTGATGACGTCAGCAATCCCCCTAGAGTATATTTTCCAGCCTCAAGCAAACCTGGTGATTAATCATTGTCGCATGGAAACCCTGAAGACGATAGCTTCTTCTAACTAACCGAGCTGAAGGACGTAAGGAATGAATCAGAATTACTCATTTCCTCTCCCAATTTACACAGTCGCATGAAGTTCAAGTCTCCGCCGGCTATAGTGACCATAGATCCCGGCTTAGCCAGAGCAGTCCCAGTTTTTGTATCTAGCCTCAGGGTTCAGGCCGATCGAATTAAAACTGGAGAATTGTCCTGGATTTAAACTTTAAATTGTCCTCGTACTGTCCCAAGAGGGAGTTCTGAAACAACTTGTTACTGACAAAGTTTTCCACCGTAGATCGTCTTCTGCGAGAACAGGAGCACACGAAACGCAGGATCGGTTATTTTGCGACGCACTTTTTTTACATCATATAGTTTTGGGTAATCTGATGACTGGTGAATAATGAATTTGAAAGGATATGAAAGGAAGAGACGGTTCTTGCCTAATGGAAGTGAAAAGCTGGCATTGCCTAGAATTATTCAAGAAAACCATGTCACTCATAATAGCAGGCGTACCTGCCGAGATTTGAAACAAGTAATTCCCCAGTACAAGTCAAGATTATTCCCACTACACCAGCCAGTGGGCTTTCTTGTCCTTAATTATAAATACGATGTTTAATCAGGTTTTGTAACGCAAATGTACTCCTCTCTTCTCCCATTTTTCCGTCCTTTCATCTCTTCATAGATTCTCCCGGCTTTTCTCTTGGAAGTGTGGTCATAATACAAGTGGAATAATATTAGGTCTGTAATTCTATTTCATAATTTGGGTACCTTTATTTTGTAATAACGCCAACACGATATATATTAATATGTTGTATTATTATTCAGTAAAATATTAATATTTTGATATTGCAAACGAGTATCATATCTATTAATGATTTGTTTAGTCTGTGGAAAGACATCTGTTATATCCCGCCTTCATAAAATATTGCTACCATATTCACGAACAGCCACGATTTCTGGGCATGTTACATTTTTCAGCAAGTTCTTTGTCGCGGGATTCATATTGCAGTAAGAAGGGGGGGGGGGCTGCTACTTGCCTCTCAACTGTTTTGTAAGATCACATATGTGAGTCACTGCTTTTCTGGTTCATGTTTAGGACAGAGTCAAACTTGCTTAATTTTAATAAGATCTAAAAATATGTGACGTTGGTATATTGTTACAATTAATATGTTGTTGGACATTATTGTGTATTGTTAAAAACCGTCCTGTTTCTTTTTTAAAGACACAACGTTTCGGGGACTGGATTCTGTCCCCGTTCTCAGGTAAAACCTACTCAGTTAGGTCCAAAAGACAGAGCTAGCCACTATCTCCGGACAACTATGCCAGTTTCAGAAGGGGTTCATAATCCAAGCACAACACAAACCATCTGTGAGAGCTAAGAAATAATGAAGCTACATACATACAAGTATGAGGCCTTGCACCAGAGAAGTATCTTGAATGAAATCATACCTGGAGAGAAGCAATACTTCTTTTGGTGCCAACACACAAAACAAATAGTTACCCACTCCAGCTACACTTGACAGCGCTGTAGTCTCTTGACTTCTGCTGTGATGACAGGGGTCCAGACGGGAGAGATATCCACACTGGGTTGACTGATCGGATGGTCTAGCAGAGACATGTGAATAGCCTATGAATATCCTAAAGAATTCGTGGACTCTGTAATGAAGCCATCGACGAGAGATCGTCCCTCTTCAGACACAACATACCGGGGCACTGTAGTCATTCCGTATGTCAAGGGTATCGCCGAGAAATTCAGACGCATCGGAAACCGTTTTCAGCTCAGAACAATCTTCCAAACGAAACATACACTCCGGGGGTCATTAATGAAAACTGGACCAGTTAGAGATGCCCAGAAAATGAAGCAGTGTGTGTATTGCATCCCTTGTGGCTGCGGCAGATGTTACATCGGCGAAACTAGCAGACCCCTAGAAGTACGCATTAAGGAGCATAAATATAACATGACACAGAGTTTGCTGGAAAAATCTAAATTAGCCCAACATGCATACGAGGAAGACCACAAAAATTTGTTGGAATGAAGCGAAGGTCTTGCAGATCGAACCCAACACCACATACAGGAAATACAAGGAATCAGCCCACATGTCTCTGCTGGACCTTCCGATCAGTCAACCCAGTGTGGATGTCTGAACCCCTGTCATCATAGCAGAAGTCAAGAGACTACAGCGCCGTCAAGTGTAGTTGGAGTAGAAACTATTTGTTTTTCTTGTGTTGGTACCACAAGGAGTATTGCTTCTCTGCAGGTATGATTTCATTCAAGATACTTCTCTGGTGCAAGGCCTCGTATGTAGTAGCTTCATTATTTCTTAGCTTGTGTTGTGCTTGGATAATGAACCCCTTCTGAAACTGGCATACGTGCACGGAGATTGGGGCTAGCTCTGTCTATTGGACCCTACTGAGTAGGTTTTACCTGAAGACGGGGACAGAATCCAGTCCCTGAAACGTTGTGTTTTTTTTTAAAGAAACAGGACAGTATTTTAAGAATAAACAAGATGATGGATTAATTGTTTAATTTTGTCACGCAAATTACACGTTTACTCTTATTTGTCAGTAGCTCGATCGATTTCGCTTAGTGAACCTCATGTACGTATTTTATTCGTGCATTTTCTTATTTTCTGGAAACATATACCAACTTATGTAATATTTGAGGTTTTCACGGCGGTGACTGTGAAGAAAGCAGTCTTCTGGGATGTGGCGCCGTGTAGATATTGTGTTAACCGACGTATCGTTAACACAGCATCTACACGGCGCCACATCCCAGAAGACTGCTTTCTTCATGTATCAACTTAGTTTTCGACAGGCCCTCATTTAATGTCTCAGGTAGACCATTATTTAAATTTGTGAAAAATCAATCTGAACCTTTGGCTGTTAGATTGAAATTTTGGAGTCTTCTTAAAAAGGTACTAACACATAATTTCTCGGCAATCGTCTTATATTTTTTTCTCAAAAAGGCAATTTCGTGAAGTGCAATGACGTGGACTCTCTCATGGAAGCCCTTGTTCTGCAACATAATCCAAAGGAATGAGGCTTATTTATTGGAACTTCGAAGCTGATTTTCAAAGCTTTATCACTCCGTACTGGAAAATAACTATCCTTTAGTTCCAGCAGCACACGCCGTTTATGTGCAGAAACCGTAGGTCAACCTACAGCAGCTTGTTAAGCATAAAAGGTGTGAAAAATATTCTTCCCGTATCCATGGAGACCTCAAATTGGCCGCATGTCTTCAAGATACGGTCTACTCGTAAACTGGTCTGCACGTAATACTTTTTGTCCTCTGTGGCCGGAATGGCCGAGGGCTGGAATGTCATTACGTAAAGAAACGATGAACACTGCTACAGACTTTAGTTTTAGAACAAGAAATTGTCACCATTGAACCCTTGGTTAATTAAGAAATTTTTCTTGCTGCTACACGAGATTAAAATAAGTTTAATGAATGTAAGATTTGAGGTTTTCACGGCGGTGACTATGAAGAAAGCAGTCTTCTGGGATACACGGTGCCAAATTCCAGAAGACTGCCTTCTTCAAGTTTAATGAATGATTTCGGTAACACAGTATATTGCATGGCAGTAGTTTTCTGTACATAAACATACATTCCCGAGGATCAGATTGGCTAGAAAGAAAGAGGGATTTTTTTTTACCCCGAAGGAAGATGAATCATGAAAAACATTGCGTTGGATGAAACTCGAAGTGATGTTTAAAGTGGCTTTCGTCACAAATTTGCTCACAAAATTAAAGGCTGAAAATTGCAAGTAACTGGCCGAGGAAATTTGTAACGCTTACGAGTACACTGGATTTTGTATACGGCCCAACTTTCTTATAAAAGTATCCATGACGGCGGAGTGACTCCGGGGCAAACAGAGTCCCAGTATGTTAAGTCAGTACTACCTGGCACAGATAAGGCGTACCGTAGAAGTGAAATACAAGTGAGGGTAGGCAGTGAGTTTAACTTGCATTTGTACTTTGGTGTTGTTATAATGTCTTTAAATTAGTCAAAAGTTCATTTTAGATTCACTCAAATTTTGTGGCGATAGGAAATATTTAAATTATTCTCGGAGCTAAAGAACCTACAAAACCCACCAAATCTTGTGCACATGAAAAAAATTATTTTTTTCGCCCACTGTAATCCATACAATTTATTTCCAGCCCTCTAAGAGGTAATAAGGATTGTCATTTTAGGCGCAGATTGTAGTTCTGTTACCTTCGGACAAATTTGCACATACCTAATACTGGAAACATCTTTCATATAAGTTTTAATCTGTTTTGATGTGATGCAAGGTATTCCCAGGTTCCAATGTTATTCAACTTCCCAAGCTGAGGTTCACATTGGATGGCTGATAGAAAATTTCACCAAACTTCGACCCAGAGCCCGACTACCCTGACTGATGTTTTTGTGTTCTTTTTTAATCTCTCCAGACGAGTGCTGGGACAGTACATTAAAATTGCCTCTCATCCCCTCTCATTTCATATTCATCACTCGCTATCATCCCACTCTTCACGTCCTTGGATCAATGATCATCATTAGACAACCACAGCCTGAGATCGAAACCTGACTGAAGCCATGTTGCGGTTTGCCTGAAAGGCGTGGGGATATGCATAACGGCAGCCTGTCCATTGCGCAAGCTCCCTACCAAGAGACCGGGATGGAACAGTAGAGCTCTTGACTTCAGTGCCGCGGCTTACCGCTCTGACGCCACATGGATGGACGCTACTTAGCGTCTCTACTTTTAGGGAAGTGAAACAGGTCGAGTAGATGTCCACATCACTATGAGGTAAAGTTATATTCACATGAGCACTGCATTAGGCCTATGTACAACCAATCTGACGAGCTGTGGTCAAGGAATATTCTTTTAGAGTAGGGCCCTATTATACTTGATTTCATCTCTAAAAACATTTGTTTCAAAATATGAGGTTCTATTCGCATGTTCGAATGCTGAAAAATCCACGGTGTAGTTCTTTTTGCCGAAAAACACTTTACCTTAAAACGAGTGTGCTTTCGGGGGAAGGTGCACCTTTGATTAGCCGAATTTAAGAAACTGGAGTGGAGCTGACTTGTACTTAACGTTGTGTAGTAATTAATCATATAGAAGTTTCGGACATTTATTTAAGCCGAAAGACCCAAGCAACTCCTAAATTCCTAAACAAACGTGGAAGAAATAGAACGAATTTAATTTTTGTCTAACAACTTACACATGGAGTAGCAGCACATGTTATGCCACCATGTTTGAAAATGTGAACAATCCTAATGCAGTGTTGTACTTTAGCGTCCTGTTGCACTGATTCATATTCATAGTGTGTATATATTAACAGCCTTCAAGTGCATACAATCCCATGTACCACTTCTACACTACATGTTTCGGCAGTATGCTGCCATCTTCAGGTGTATCGATCCGTCAACTGTTTCACTGCTTGCCTTTACCTGTCCATTTACAAATAATATTATATTTGTATACATCCTTATATAATAATAAAGTTTATGTATTTAAAACTTATTAAAACCTGTTATCTCATACGTCATATTTTAAATTCGTGTGTATTATTAATCATTCACATCCAACGATACAACGCACACAACCACAAGAGTAGAACACAACATAAGACACAATATACCCACAACATTAGAAACATAAAAAGAACGACCCCAATGTGGATGATTAATAATACACACGAATTTAAATTATGACGTATGAGATAACAGGTTTTAATAAGTTTTAAATATATAAGTTTTATTATTATATAAGGACGTATACAACTTTAATATTATTTGTAAATGGACACATAAAGGTAAGCAGTGAAATAGTTGACGGACCGATACACCTGAAGATGGCAGCATACTGCCGAAACACGTAGTGTAGAAGTGTTAAATGGGATTGTATGTACTTGAAGACTGTTAATACATACACATTACTAATGCAATGTATTGTATTCATTTGTGGTTTATTTAACTATTCTCACTGTGCGTAATTCAGGCTAAATAATATCAAGGTGGAATGACAATGATTAGCAACTAAGGAATAGGAAAGAATGTGGAAGGAACCAGTCGCAGCCACATTGGGGCCACGGAAAAACTGCTAGGATAGCTGGGGCCTCGGCCTATAATCGAAAGGGGCACCTCCCGAATACAAGCCTGGAACATTTCAACGGGGGCCAGTTTGTTTGGTATGTGATGTAAGAACCTTCTGTTGAAATCTCAACACTTTCAATGCTGATTTGCATTTATAAATACGTCACACTATTCCCTGTTAGAATCTTTGCACGGTAACGTATAATTTGTTTTGTGGTAAAGACACACGTAATTATATTCTTAAGAGAAAGACAATTTTTATTTCGCTGTCAGTACAGCAGCACGTTCATTCTATAATGATCGCTGTTAACGTGAGTTTTCTCGTGAGTATCCTGGAATGATCCTCTGATTCAAGATTAAACTAACTGCAGCACTGCAAAAATTGTTGAAGATAACTTTGATACTAAAAATGCAATTGAAATTGTTCTCACTATAGCGATATTCTGTATTTTGTATTACTTTATATGTGCGTATGCTTGCTTATGCGTTGGTGGGTGCGTGGTGCTATCTTGGAATATGTGCAGTACATGTGGGCTTACTGGGCATCTAAGAGCGAGCAATGGGGAGTCGGGTTTCGCTTGTTTCGTGACAGTTAAGAGCTCAGCTGTCAGGTATTCTGATTCATTGGCAAAATTTGTATGTGCCTCGCAGCCGGCGGTGCACCCGTCGACGTGAAGAGCAGAGCCGTGGAATCGGCCAATAAAGTAACAATCTTCAATGTACCTTTGAAGTTTCACTTTATCCTGTGCTGTTTGAAACGTGGCCCCTCCTCCTTATGTTTGAAATCCATGTTGTACTCGTATGAAGCACAGTGGTGGCTTGCATGAAAACAGTAATGGGATTTTGGGTTTCTCAGAAACGGGAAAGTTCTTCACCGGCTCTGTAATTTTCAGCCGCTCAAGTCTTTGTCTGTGAAGTTAATTAATTATCTAATTATTAAAGTGGGATTTCTGGTTTCAAACTTGCGTTGCGTAAAGTATGGGTCTTAAAGAAATACAAGTGTCAGGATGTGGACCGAATCAGTCATGTAACTCATGATAGGGTCTATCAACAGTGCCTTATGAACACTGTAATGAAATTTTGGAATCAGTGATAAGCTGGCAATTACATTTCTGAAAGATACCACGTTCTCTGCTTCATGGAATCCGTTCTTAGTTATCAGCCTGGTACGTGGAGTTTTAAAATTTCAGAAATCAAATGCCACTTTTGAGAAGTTAGATTCACGTGAAATTGTGGCATGATTCATGTGGCGTGCGACAAAATGCAGTGGCTGGTTCTTATCGACATCTTAATAACCCATCGACATCCTTAAAAGCGGGGTTTCTTGTACGGCTGAAGGATTATTGGCTGCTTAAGAAGGAATCCCTGGATAATCCATAAATGATTTGGGGGCACTTCTAGTTTTCAAAGGATTGGAAACCAGTTTGTTCCATTAACAGAAGGAGAGCACAAAACATGGGGTTCCGCGTTATGCAGTTCCCTGTCTGTAGTGAGAAATGTTTCGTGAATATGTTCAGTGTGCGCTTACTCACACAAGTGGAGGAGCCACATGACGCTCAGACATCGCGCAGTGCCCAGTAGGCTGGCATATCACTAACGTTCTGGACATGTATTCGAGACTTCTTTCCTCTGCTGGGACGACGGCTATCCTGAGTGACATTTTGCGTGATTCTCCAGAGCCACTTCAAGTAAATTCTGGGCTAGTGGCTTGATTAGGCCACAACTGCTTCCTTCCAAGTAATTTCAATTTCATCGTTCTCCTAACATTCCACGCTGTATAATTTAGGTGCTGAATGAATCGTAAAGGAAACCACAAAAAGGCATTCTCTATACACTGCTCGGCTGTGTGCAAGTTTCAGTAGACACGTGGAGCAGGTAATCCCGTTTCCAGAAACATTGATCCTGACGGCTCTGTGGAGATTTCGTCACGAACAAGAGCTAGTGCAATGGGAGTGATCAAATTCTACCGGTTCAGATAGTGGTGAAGAGTTTCCTGTTTCTTCTAGCGTGTTAAAAGATTCCATATGATCCTTTGCATGGGGGCTGACATACCGAAAGCCACACATGAAATACAAGAAATTGAAAACTTGCATCTGTGCTCGGAATGGAATTCGATCTGGTGATACCTGCAAGTTCGCTTAATAGTAGAACTCAGTTATTGCTCTCTGAGTGTTATATAAAAGCATTGTATCGGCATCAGAGCTTATGCAAAGTCCAACACTTTGAAAATAACGAAAAATGCTGAAATAGGAAAAGAAACATGGAACCGCGCCCTGTTTGATTGAATTGTTGCAGACAGACCATGAAACCGCCCGAAGCAGTATAACGGATAGTCTGTCTTTGAGAGAGATTCGGCACCAATTACCTCATACACACAACGCATGCGCGTGACGCATGTGTCATTTTTCGTAGTGTGCCGAGGGTATAACCATGGGCAGCTGAATTAGTGACAGATACAGGCATGAAATTGGGTCTGGTAAACATTTGTCTCCATGTAATGAAATGTGATGTTTTCAGAAGCGCTTTTCTGGGTTCTCTTAACGATTTTTATACAAAAGCCTCAGAGCGCTTGTCAGATTTCTTAAGATATGCATCTTGAAAGGGAGACACTGTGAAGATGGATTGTGTCTAATGGCGGACTTCGGTATTACCGGTATCAAGCCCACCAATTCCTCTAGGAGAGTGTTAGCCAACCGGTTAGTTAATTGTGTAAGATTTGAGGCTTTCACGGCGGTGACTATGAAGAAAGCAGTCTTCTGGGATTTGGCACCGTGTATATGTGGTGTTAACCTACGTTTCGGAGGAACGTATCGCCTCCATCTTCAGGGTAGAAGGAAAAATAGAAGAAATCCGCAAGCGAAGGGACAGTGAGAACCGGTAAAAGCAGACCAGTCTGCTTTCTTCACAGTTAGTTAATTACTTGAAGGTAGGTTGTGAAGATGAGTGAGAGAGCATCATGTCCTGACACAGATTTTGATATTAATGGTGCTGGGACCCACCAGCTCCAGTGCCGGATTGTTGGTGAGTCAGGTAGGAAGATGCATATGCGGTATTGTTATATGGCTTTCAACACAACAAACTCCAACTAAATAAAGCAATATTACTGTATTAACATTTGTTTACCGATCACACTGGTCGCCCGGTCTAAGATATTAACTGACTTTGTCCGTTCGAACATTGAGATCGTGGGTTCGAATCCCACTTGGGGCATGTTTGCGTCTATTCTGTGTTTGTATAGTCTTGTGCAGAGAGCTGTCTTGCGACGGGCTCATCCTCCATCTAAGGAGTCCCACCGACTGTCTGCAAGATTAAGAAACTGAAGTGAAACGAAGCGTTTCATGAATGTCCTATGCTCCAGAGGGGCAACAAGAAAAATGAATGGATGAACATTTGTTTATTATTCTATATCTACTACATGCTTCGATTCAGCTGGATTATCATCAGGTAGTTTTCGTGATACATCACTCCTTATTGGATTGTGTCCTAATGTCGATCCGTGACAGTAATTGTGATATAAATTTCGTTAAAGATTTATGTCGCGTCATGTTACTAAATTGATATCGTAATATTAATCTTAATTGTTGAAATGTTAAAATGTTGTTATTCATATCTATATCAAAATCTTAAAATTACCTGTAAATTAATCATTAATTAAATTACATTGGAATTATATTTTAGGTCAGTGAGTGCCCGCGAAGATTTGTCACA